AGACCAGTTGTGGTCCTTCTGTCTCTCTCTCTCTCACACACACACTCTCACACTGGGTCATGGTGTTTGTTTACCTTGTGTCACAGGCCTATATCAACAGTTGGGCTGAATCCCAGCGGGGAAAACCCCATTTTGTTTAAAATCATTTTTCAATCAAAGGCTAAAAGAGAAACATAAGAAACACACAGGCACTCACATAGCACAATTTCTACCCGGCCTACTATCACAAAAGGGGCTCAAAGATAGTGGTCATACAGGACCAATAAACAATCTAAACATTAAAAGCTTGTTTGAAAAGGTACGTTTTTAGAGCTGACTTGAAGGCTACCGGCTCAATTATAGAGCGTATATCTAAGGATAAGGAGTTCCACAATCTAGGGCCATGCACAGCAAAAGCACGGCCTCCCCATTTCTTATAGTGTGCTGGAGGAACAACGAGGGCGAGATGACCTGACGACCGTAAAGTTCGGCGAGGGACATATCTGGACAAGAGGTCCGATAAGTACAAAGGGGCAGGCCGTGTATGGCTTTAAAAACATAGAGCAAGATTTATTTAGTAGATAAATATATCCCTTTTAATTGTTCTTAGCCTCTCAAGCAAAGGGGGCACTGCACTGATTTTATCTCATCATGAGAAGTCCTACTGAGTCCCGTGAGTACAGTGGTATAACTTCCTCTTGGTTCTGGTGAGAGCATTTGAATATCTGACAAATAATCCTGATTATTTCATCTTGGGTATAAAGACTAAAAATTCTAACAGAAACCCTTTGTTACAAACTGGGAGTGTGGGTTTTGAAACACTGTGGGCATTTATGAGGCAGAGAGGGTCTAATAGAGCTGCAAAGAAACTAATTTGAACACCTTGGTGTAAAGCACTCATTAATTTTCCCTGTAGACAATTTATGTGACTCACAGTTTGAGCACTTCTTCAGCTTTCATGAAACTCATCAGTACAAAACCTGAACAACTGTGTTTGAAAATATATGGCTCTTTGTAGAAAAGTCAGAGGTTCAAGGCTGTGGTCAGTAAAACTTTGAAGGAGACTTACAGTAACTGTCAACTCCCAGGGTTAACATCGATAATAAATTTACTGTTGGAGTATAGATCAGTTTTGGATTAATTTGGCACCCGGCTTTGTTCATATATTACAATGCAACACACTGAATTCCCTGCCAGTTAGAGTGCGGATACCCTGACCAAGTCTGACGGGACCCTTTGGTACCCGAGGGGTCAAGCCAGGTTTTGACAGAAATTTAGAATTTATGTTCGGGTCTGGGTCGGGTTCGGAGACATGGGTGAAAATTTAGGCTAGACGGCTGGAGCACTCAAATGTCTGCTTTGTTTAATGATAAGGGGGAAGACACTGTACAAACTCAACACTGGGTCCAGGTTGGGTTCAGACAGGAACATGCAGCCCGATCTATGCTCTACTACTAATGTCTGTTTGACTCTGGCTGGCTATGGGTGCTGTAGTAATGAACTATCCGCCACGCCACACACAAAAAAATGTGAGGACCATTACACAAACCTATAAGATAAAAGTTAATAACATCTCAATCTGTGCTGCTTTAATTATGACCAATCTGTCTTTGAACATGTTTTTGTTGGCACTGGGTCGAAATAGAATTACTCGTCTAAAACACATTTCTTGTTTTTGAGTACATGTTAAAAATACTGAGAAGAGCTCGTGCTTGTGAACGGTAGCACAATGAATCCAGTGTGTGCTGTGTTAACTTCATGACAGTAAAAGACAGCAAAAGAAAAACATATTGCGAACAACAACATTTTATTTCAATTAATGGATAAACTGTATTTCCAAACAAAAATAGAGGGGATAAAAACAAATTCAGAGTTCCTCTGTGTGAATTTGTTTATCAACAGATGGGTTTCTAAGGTCCCATATGGCTTTTCCAATACCAGTACTTGACGTTGATGCCATAGTGCCATGTTGGAAATGTGAGACACGTCAAAACAAACTTGTTTCTCCCATTAAGAAGAAAAACAACAAAAACAACTTAAAACTGTCCTAAGCTAAGTCACAGTCATAAGTCCACCTAGAATAATAATGTAACATAGACTGAGGTTTTCAGAGGTTAGTGATACATTTCTCTACAGTATCGGTACGATAAGCTCAAACGACATGACAATATCATCAGGACATGGCAAAGAACTCGCATGAGATCTGAAAAAAATGAAAGTGCTGATGATGTTAACAGAAATATCTGCTCTCATGACAGTAGTTTTATTAACATTTTAAATCTCTGTATTTTGTATCACCTTTTTGACTTTATATGCACATTATCCATTTTGACATTATGTGAGTTCATTTCCTCTCCTGACAGGACATAATACCTGTTATAACAGGTAACGAGAGATTATGGCACAGTCATAAGATAGATGCTCAGTGACAAAATCTTTGTTCTAAGGCAAGTACAGCTAGTTTTGTAACATGTTCCACCAGTCCAGAAGGTCAAATATTGACAATCATGACTAAAAAACAACAACGAGGATAGGTTGTGTCACTCTTGTGATAACATCATAAAAGGGGTTATAATTATTATGGGCCTTTTGGATGAATAAAAAAGGTAGATTGATCAAATGGTGCAATTGTAGTGAGAATCTACCAGTGCTGTGAATTTGCAGGAGTGAATAAGTGTTGGTTCTGACTAGTTTACAATGCAAGTGCCTAAGCTTTTATTTGTAACTTTTTTTTTATTTTTTATTTTTTACAAACTCCATCTCCCCCCTGAGACCCAAACACAAGTATACAGTCAAATTATAGACAAAGCAGACATTATATTTTCACCACCAACACTACCACAAAAATAATTCAAATATGCCTTTGTCAGCTTTGGCACAGGCTGCTGATAAGTGTACATTTTGCTGGGTTTGTCTTTTTTAATTGTTCTGATATTGGCATGTCTGTCTGTCTATCCACCCTTTAAACCTGAGCATTTCCCAATGAACCCTAATATGCTATAGATGCCTATGAATCAATGATATACTGTACATATGGACACAATCATGAGTTTTCTCCCCATATAAACAGTGCTAATAGAAACACACAATAAAACATGTTCTCTGCAAAAGTCCAAGTCAATTTGGCATCTCTCTTTTTTAATGGCTTCTGGTTTTCTTTTCAAAAATAAGTAAATATACAACAGGCTTTGTGCTCTTGATTGTAGAGTCCCATTGACAAAGCCCTTGCTCTGTATTCACTATACTGGGGTGCTTGTACACAGCCTCTGTAGGTGAAGGCACAGCACCAACAATAAAGCAAATGTTTTGTCTTTTGCTGCCTCTGTTTGCATGGGGTTTGAGACTGACATCTGAAGGGAGCCCAACAGACCTGCTGGTGAACTGCGTAATAACCTGTTCTACCAAACTGTCCTTCTCGTGCCACATCTCAAATGTAGACTACATCGTCGGGTGAGGGACTGCTATGGGCCGCTGTGTTTCTGCAGTGGTGGTGGATGATTGGTTGGCTTGTGTAACTGGCATAGTAATGGAGTGTACCATCAGTCTGTATTTTGAGTGGAATGGTGAAGAAGGTGCTTCCACTGGGAAAGCTGAGAAGTTGAATGCAGAACATGAAGGGAAGGACGTATGGATGGATGAGTAATCAAATGGATGTTCAGCCTGAATGTCTCCTGCAGCTTCTCCTTCATCTGTCTATACACCTCATGGCCCGTTCTCGTTGTAGTGGAGGGGGATGGGCCGCTCGCGTTGCACAGTAGGCATGTAGGGCCAATTGTAGCTGGAACCCGAGAGCAGCATGTCACGAAGTAATGTCTCGATGGGTGTCTTGCCTACCAACCGCACGAAAAACAACTGCTCGATGACCGGAGAGGAGACGATGCGCAGGGAGGGCAGGCGGAGGAGGAGGCGCCCAAAGCGGTTTGGTTGGCTGGGATATTGGTTCCTTACGTACTCCTCCAGAGCACACTGAGACTTCTCCTGGATGCTCTCCACGTGGGCAATATCTGACAGCCCCATAGCATCTAGAAGGAATGAAGACAGATAAGATTTATGGTCTATAAATAGAGGGAACTAAATCATCTTTATGTGTCTGAAAGGACAAATAAAGATACTTTTTAAAAGAATCTACAAGACGCTGTGCGACATGCAGATGATGGGCAGCAGACAGATCAGTGGAGGACTCAGACTACCTGTCACTGTGTGAGATTAGGTGATCATTGTGGCTTAGAGTTCTGAACAAAAAGACGGCAGACTACACATACCCCGACCAGCCATAGTTTCTGGTCTTTCACAATCCCTAGGTCAGAAGAGGCCAGAGACAGATCTGTAGGATCAGGAATGTCAACAACCAAGGGTCATATAATAGATGTTGTGAAACTTGGTAAGAAAAAGTTTAAAAAATTGTGTCATCTTAGTCTTTCCAATATTCCTCTTTGTCTGTGAGAAATGATAAAATGTCCAACACCCCGCATCTGTTGTAACCGGTCTGATGATGGGTAAACTGAACAGCATTAGATATAGCGCACACTGAATATGTGTGGCTCAGTCTGAAGTCTTCACCTGATATTGTACCATATATTAAATCTACCCAAGTTGATTAAAAGGGATGAATGAGAAAGATGACTCAGAAGGGTGGTCAGAGAAATCTTGTTCAAACATAAGGATATCCAGGTTGTCGCTGCAGAGACGTGTATCTACTACACCCCTGTGGTCTGTGTTCACAGCACACTACAGTGCTCACTCTCCCTGCAGCTGGAGGTCATGTTATGCCGTCCCCCTCCTCACACCTATCCTCTTGCCAGCTCCCACCTTGGCATGAGTGTCACACAACCAAGAGAGTGTGTAACGCTGTGCACGATACTTTTCACACCCTCCATTTGCAGGGGAGAGAATGGAGGATTTACCAAGGGAGGTCAGAGATGTGTGATCTCAAAACAAATACACATTTTACTGCATTCTGCCATGCATTGTACAGTGAGTGGGAGTGTTCTCTGGCTCTGGCCCCTCAGTGAACCTCCATTTGGAGAACAGGATTTCAATGAGGGCAATTTCTTCACAAGCGTGTTTTTTTAGTCTGAAAGCTCTGGCCCGTAGGTTTTAACCTGTCACCTTGGATCGTATGTCTCCTTTGTCATCTCACACTTTGATCTGCCTCATGTATAAACCCCACCCGTCTGGGTCTCACTTCTGCACAACAAAAAACGGGAAAAAAGTAATTTATGTCATATTTTAATCTAACATGGCAACCCCTCCCCACCCCCAGTGGACGATATACTCGTCGTTCTGGGTAAACAATTGCTCCCACTTTGGCCATATTTCCCTCCACTCGTGGAAGCAGCTGGATTGCTTTTTTGTCAGGCCAACATTTTGGTCCTGCATGACAAGGCACTCCGTGTCTGGCTGGAATTAGCAAAGCTGTCTGTGTGACTGAAACTACTTTGCGTGTCGAAGCGACAGCTCTGTGGGCGTCCTTCCCTGCCAAGCGCCATGGTTTTTGTCTGATCCCTGGGCACACAACAGGTCACTGGGGGTGAGGGATCAGGGTGGTAGGACTGAGATGCCCGTTCTCTGATGTGGCTTGATGGGCCTGGGCTTCATAGCGGGAGAGAGGAGGGAGGGTATTCTGGTGATTGTCTGAGCTTGTTAGCTCATCCTACAAAGGTCTGCAAGAGTCAGATTTATTAACGGGTCTGTCTAGTTTACTGCATGTGTGCACGTCTGCCTCCATTAAATTCAAATTTCTTTTCATATCCACACTTTTCACTAAATGCATTGCCTTCTAGAGCCTTTTGGCAAGACATGCACTTTTTGCAATGAGTGCACATGTGGGTACATCTGCCCACATACAGGGAAGTCACATGGGATGCTCAGGGCTACAAGGGTTATGTAGGTCATGGCCCAGGCTGCAGCAAATCCTCCGTCTCACTGAAACCCACCATACATAATTCAGCTCCCATGGTGGGGGCAGGGGTCCCAGGGCCTGGGCTCGGTTTGGGAAGCGTGGGGAGGAGGGGTGGATGACTGGTTTCAATAATAGATGGGATCCTGAGGCAGAGATGGCTGATGAAAGCAAAGAAGAGAAGGGAGAGGTGGATTCACAGCAATCCACATACATAGAGGAGAGAGGCCAGAAATACACAGAGTGGATGTGACACGCTATGCAAGGGAGAAATAAGGAAAAATGCAATAAAAACATGGGCAAGAAACATCTCAGCGTTCTTCACCATCCGTTTCCTCCTGGGTCACAGTGGATGATCTCTCAGAGAATTATCCCAGATGTGACAGTATTTTGTTAGGCACTGGAGAACAATGACTGTTAAAATAAATTTCAACACAGCTTATATATAAACTGTATCAAAACTATTTATCCTAGCTTATCTTATGGGTTTCCCCAAGATATAAAGTCTTATGTACATCTGAGTAGAGAGAACATACTATAACACACTATGTCAGTCTCCAGTGCCCTATTTTTTTTAAAAAGGTCTGGATATAATCTTTGCTAGCATAAATGCTTTTCCTTTATCATGAAGTCCTACTACCTATACTACAGTGAGGGAATAGAGTGGAATTATTCAGGTAAGAAATTAACATCACATCAAGGCCATGTTAATTTAATGTCACCACTCGAGGAGGTAAGAGTAACTGCTGTGAGTAGTAAACATATGGATTGATGGTTCAAAATAGCATGGGTCTATGGGTGCAGTATAAATAGTGGTTATTTTATTTAATGTAAATGAAGAACTAATTGCTTGTACATCAGTTTTCCTCAACAACAACAAATTACCAAACTGAACAACAACGTAACTACATGGAGGTCAGAAATTCAGTCACTACAAAACAGTGTCATCAAAGATAATGATAAAAATACAAGCTTCATGTACTGTATAAGTTTAACTCCAGCAACAAGTGATTTAAAAGAGGCACTGAGCTACTGCCAGGGCCAAAAGCTGCCGTTTACAGTATGAACGAGTGCTCAAATTAGAGCAAAATGAAAAGGTTGTGGGGCTGAATACAGCTGACATCGTCTTCATGCGTCTGTGAGCTCAAACTAGATTTGGACACAGTGGAAGGAAGAACTGTTTGTTACAGTTCAAGTCATTTGAGTTACTTTTTATTCTGAGGTTAAATAATGAAGTAACAGTTACAGCAGAAAGTCGGTCCTCTGTTGGCCTGTGCATCATACAGTAGTCAGCCTCTTTCATAACAGACAAAGTGAATCCTTGCAGGACCTCTTGGTTTCATATACAGTAAGCAATGATGCTGCTAACTAGCTAGCTTTTTCAACACAAATACATAACATTACTGGCTTCGACTATCTGTTAAATTTTGTTTTTTTATTTTTCAGACATGTACGTGCATTATGGAAATTATTATTATTATTATTATTTTCTCCCACAGGCTGCATCAGTGATAAATTTTAAAGCATATTTTGGCAATGATGCCCTAATTAAAGATAATTGTGAGTTTGAGGGATGTTGCCTTCTCTTTTCATAGTGGATAATCTAGAAAAATTGAATTATTCATTTTATTAGATAGAAATTTCTGCTTTGTATGTTATAATGTCCAACTATGGACAAGTATAAACTTACAAGAAGTTAAGTTGGGACTCCCATTAACTGCAGTTTGCTCACATGCTGCATGTACATACAGCATGTGCTGGATGTACATGCTCACATGCTGGGTGTTCAAGCAACTGGCATGAAAGGAAAATTTAAACATACTGTAAGTAGTGGTCAGACTATTATACTGATTGCACCGGGTTTATTTTAATCCTCTGGGAGGAGAAAACATTTTTATAAACTGATCAAAATTGGAAAAATATACTCACCTACAAATGGAATCATTTATTGTGTTTCCTAGACTATTAAAGTGAATGTATGTACTTATTTATTGTGAAGATGATTATTGAGTGATATATTTTAATGTTACTTGGTGCTGCTGTAGCCTTTGAATTTCATGGCATTCAATCCAGACTTGTGTTGCATCCAAAATATAATGAAAATGTTTGTTATCAATTTCCAACCTTGTAAAAGTGACCAGGACTTTTTTTAAGAAATAAAATTACTGTAAAAAAAAAATCACATTAATATAACATGGTGAAAATGCCTCTGTTACAAAATGCAACACACTGTTGCAGAGTTTGTTTTTTTTTTTTTTTGATCAGTTAGCCTAAATCTGACCTGATCAGAGTATTTTCTTGTCTTCTAGCAGTGAATCTCCTTTGCACATTATGGTTAACATGAAACTGTTGTTGCCCTTACAGTCTGAATCAAATTGCTGTTGTTGAAATCATTACAAATGGGGTATGAGTAGGTTTACATAAAAGATTCAACTACTAAAACCATGGATTTTGCTCTATTGAATCATGATAATTATTTTTAATCTTCTGCTTGGCCACTTCAGGGCCATCTGCCTCCAGTTATATCCTGCTTCAACATCTTGTTTTAAAGTGACATTATAAACTCAAGATACCACTGAAATGTCACGCAGTTTCCCTGTGATACTCCTCCGTTTATGTGTACAAATATGCTTCATTCAAACTCACCGGATGTGAAGAGCACAATGGACTTCAGGCATGAATATTCAGCTGTGTCAACCTGCAGGGCCTTCAACTTTTCCACCTGTTCTTGGAAGACACGGATGTGGTCCATAAAGGCCACCACACGCTCTGCCGACATGGGCGCAGCGTGCAGGCCGGCCGCTGCCAACAGAGGGGCCACATGAAGCGGCATGGAACATTGGGCTGCATTGAGGACAAAGAGCTCGCTCCATGACATGCGTAAGAGTGCCACCTAAAATACAGACAGAATATAGTGGTTATTAAAGCAAGAGAATGATAAGAAGAAGAAAAATCTACTTTTAATGTGTAATAGAAAACATCTTAAAATATAATATGGGTTGACAAAATAATATGTTAAACTCTGAAGTGATACATCTCAACAAGGTTGAACTGATTATGTCATCTTTTGTGTGCTGTAAAAAAATTAATAAATCAACACCTTGATATACAAAATACATTTTAAAGTGAGTACAAAAGCCCCAAAGGGAGAATCATCTTTGAAAATTAGGTCAGAAAATAGCGTAATTATTTAATATTACGAGGGGCACAGCTGTTAAAAATCACAACAGTCACAAGTTCAAATGAAAATATGTGATCCACTTTTGTAGCAGAATATATCATGACTGATTTAGTTAAGACCAATTAAAACAATTATTCTTTTAAGCATTTATATTATTACATCTACCCTGAATAATCCAGCTACCTGCTGTATGATTTAGACACTGTGAAGTTACAAGTGAAGAAGTTACAAGTGTAAACAGTCTTTTGATAGCCGGTGAAAAATAATTACAAAAACACCACAAAACCTGGGCTTTTTAAAACCATAGAACAAAGTGCACAATACTAAAGCACTTACAGAAAAAGAAAGGACAGATACTGTATATTCTTCATTTCAGTGTGACATTGATGATATATTAATGACATGGTGCAGCTACTGCATGACATTTTCATGATGACTGTGTCTGCCAAAGGTACATGTGAATATTTATAGGTCAGGCGATCACTTTGTGCCGAGACTTTACAGCTGGTGTAAATCTACATGTGCAGGATTGATGCTATGTCTGTCTGTATTGAAAGTTATGAGTGGCTATTTCTGCCTTCAGAGAATAATAAAGACAAATTGTTTAAAATGCCATGTAGTGGAGATTAACAAAAGAGGGGAAAAAAACTGAGAATTTTTAATTTTATTTATTGGCTCAGTTTTTTCTTAAAGAGTAAGCAGAGAATCAGTTCATTGGTCATACATCATGAGACTGTCTTTCATTGGATTACAGTTCTGTTTTGGTTCTGGTTCAACAGAAAAGTATTGTCTAATTATGTTTATGGTTATTAAGTCTTTTACGGAAGTAGACATGGACTGCAAAACCGGTGTGAAACATGCTCACATATTGCTCTGTTTTGGGTTGATATTTAATAAAGGCTCTCAGCTTATTAGTATTTACTGTATATTTAGGTTTTATTTTTTAAATACCGGGGTGCTTACTTTGTATGTTTGTAGGCCAAACACCAATCCACTATATTGTTTCTGTGTGCTTGATTAAAGGAAGAATTCAACATTTATAGTGCTGCACACAAGAGAATATACTGGGGCAAAGGAGTGACCTTCGGCCTCCAATGTTCCTGGTTGAATATTTTAATGTAAACTCACATAAATCATTAAAGTGGCTGACTCACCTGATCCATGAGCTGCAGATCAGGGAAGAAGGGGATGTTCTTGGCCCACTCAACAGCACTGAACAGCAACCTGGCTGCCAGCTCACAGATGTTCTCAATGCCCATCAAGTTGTTTCCTTGCATGCACTGGGAGCCGTAGCGAGATGTGGGGTAGGGCTCGGCACGCAGTAGCAGAGAGATGAAGCCGGATAGATAAGGCTGGCTGTTGTATGGGTCTGTGCCATTGGTCAGGTACTGTCCCGGGCTGCTCTGGGAGTTTGAAGTACGCCCTCGTTGTACAGCTGTTTGAAAATAAGAAAGATGGAAGATTAGAACTTGGTTGCCTAAATCTGAGCTTTTAATTCATGAATATGTAATGTTTTCCCAATGTTTCATTCTTTTCTTTTATCTCAAACCAGCTGACAACTTTTAACAGGTGCTACATTTCTATCATCAGGTTTTTATTACACTTTTATGATTGAGGAGGCCTCCTATAACAATATGTGATACATCTGAACCTGGTTTACATCCAGACAGGCCTAGCACAGTCTGCCTGAAAAGTTAGGCGAGACCTAATAACCTGAAACATAAATGTGGGGGTGAGGGGGCTGCAGAATGGGTTCAAAGGGGCAAAACGAGTAGAGACGGGAACATTTCTCTGACTCCTAAATATGTCAGTGCTCCTCCTTCCAGCAGATCAATGGAAAACGGATGGCTAAAGCCTTTCTGCACTGCTGTTGTGCATCAGTAAATAATGACAAGCAGCAGCCGCTAAAGATATAACACTTCTTCACACCTACATATGTTGTGCACCTATGTATGCATGCACACACATCACACATGGATACATAAAGTAACATGCCTCCTCCCTCTACTGGCAAATGGCTCAGCCTGAAGAAAAAAGGGCACACAGAGGCCAGACACACACACACACAAATGCCCAACCCCCCCGTGTGGAGTGATGATGATGCGACGAGTGCTCAAAGGCCCATTTGGAAAACACCTGTTCAGTCATTCCCACTGTCTGACTAATAACTTCATCTACTGTTACACAGAGCGGCTGAGAATGGGGAGAGCGAGGCAATGAAAATGCAAGGGGTGGGGGGGGCAAATGTGAGGAAGAAAAAATTAGGTGAAAAGTGTGAAATGGTGAGATAAGGGGGAGAAGTGAGTAAGTTGAAAGAAGGGAAATTGAGGGCAGGGAGAGGGGAGAGTGGCAGACAGAGGAAGAGAAAAGGTGTGGAGTTCTATATGTTTGAATAGAGCCTGAGACAGAGAGCGGTGGTTCACATAAAGAGACGGGTGGAAGGAGGGGTTTGGAAAATGCTTTTCAACTCTGCATCACCTGTCGCCTCATACACAGCAGCTGTGTCAACTGAATGCACCATGGCACTTCTGAAAAACACTGTCAAATCACTCAAGAGTATTAGAAAAATGCCTTTAATTCTAGCCTGTTGGGGAAAAAATGCCTCTGCACAAAAGGTGGTGACCTCAAACTACTAGTTTTCCCTGTGAACTTGTGTCAACCTGTGTCCTGGAAAAGAATGTGGTTTCCTTTGGCAGATAGTGCAGTCTTGCTATGAGGTGTTGCCTGTCACATAGATAGAGTTGCACAGTGGGACATTCCTTGTCACTCACTGTCCAGCAGCTCTCATCTTGCTTTACAAACGACAGCTGTCAGATTAGTGACACGTTATCAAAGATTACCTGGTCAAATATGTTCACTTCAGGCACTTGGAGGTGTGAAGTGAGACATTGCTAAATCTATCAGTGCTCTGGCTGTCAGTCAAAGAACTTATTGTAGTACAGGCTTGTGAAAGATTTGACAAGTCCTCTGAAGTAAACAGGTTTTTACACTGAAGTGTCTTCTGATCTGACACCTCTATCATGGACATCATTTGTCTGTGCCATCAACGTTACACGTGACTGTTGACAAAATAAACTAGTTTTATGATGTGACAACACTATGGTTAATGTTTGGTTAGGTTCAGACACAAACACCTCGGTTAGGTTTAGAGAAAGATCATGGTTTCAGTTTTAAAAAGTACTTAAACAAGCTTAGGGGATCTTTATTATCATGGTTACAATAATAACCACATGACTGAGGTTAGGGAATGATCACGGTCAAGAGAAACAAATAGCAGCGTCCCCTGCTAAAATCCAACATTTTGGTGAGAGTCCTTGACCTCCTCCCAACACCTGACGTCCTCCTTTGCAACAATCATAAATGCCAGGGCCACTAGAGAGTCTTGTCATTTGAGTGTAAACTGATGTTCAGTTGCTAAAACAACTCATTCTGTCATTTTCCTTGGGAGAACAGTCTTGGAAAACTCTTCCCTGACTGTCTGAAAACTTCCATGGCCTAAAACTGGCACCCTGTCTGTGCTAAATAATGGGTTTCATCTAAAAACATTTTGGACTTCTCACTAATGCATTAGCCAGGTTGTAAAACAAAGCGTCCCTGACCTCCACGGAAAACTGATCAAATTCACCAAAATTCACTGACATTCCACCAATTCCATGACCTGCTGGGACCCAGCTGCTCCTCGTACGTAGTCCTGATTTATAAATTCACAGCTATTAATCTGCTGTCATACTGATTAGCTGTTAATCCTGCAGATGGTGGTGAATCTACTTGATCCACTTGACTTTTCAAAGAGGCACTGTGGGGGTCACTCATGGCTGAGGGGCAGCGCACTTGAGTACGTCACTGCTCTCTGTCTTCCCTTGCCCTCAGCTGGCTGATGACACTGATGTGCAGAGAGAAAGGAAAAAGGAAGAGGGGTGACAGAGAAAAGTCCAAAGGAACAGAAAGAAATAGAGACAAGAAGAGGCAGAGAGAGATGTCGAATTTTGTCAAAGAGGAGGGCAGATCAGCATTGTATTAGAGAGAAACAAGGAATATGAAGTCAGAGATAAAGAATAAAATGTGGTGTGGGAGTGCCTGATATATTCCGCCTTTAAAGTTGTGCACTTATTTTTCCTTGGTAAACAAAATTATTCCAACCTGAGAGAAGACAAAGCACTGAAAACAGCCTACAAATTTCCAAAATGTAAAACAAAACAGCATCCTGTGTAGGTAGGGCATGAAATGAAGGCACGAGGAACAAGGGAGAGGAGGAAAGTGCATGCACACAGAGCTACCATGGGACATTTCAGCTGTGACTTTCAAAATGCCACTTCAGCAAATGGCAGCTGCCAGAGTGCACGCTTTGCTGCCTGGCTGCCCTGGATTAGCCTGTGGGTCAGACTGTTAGTGGAATTACAGCAGCTAAATACAATTAAGGTTTATCAACATTTGGACTCAAAGGTCACTGTGCCAGGTTACACAGATGCATTATAGATTTGGCTCAGACTGATAGTTGCATTTAATAAGCAGCTTTTCCATTTCTAGAGCTTCCTTTAAAACACGCTGCCCTGTGTGAACCAGCGCCTGTGTTTCAACTGAATGGGAAAGCGTGTATGTGATTGTGTACAGTATGACAGTTTGACAACATTCAAACATCTTGTAAAGCAACCAAAGAAATTTCTAAACTTGTGGGTGTAATGCTAAAAAAACAAGTAATTTTATCTGGTATAAAAGATTAGGAAGGTAAAAAATAAAGATAATTTTTTTTATGCCTAAATATGTACTGTATGCCACTGCATATTCTGTAGATGTACATGGCTGTGATCCAGGTCAGAGGAAAGATGAGCCTTTAATAGTTTTATTTTGGCCCTGACCTTTGTCCTGCAGCCCACTGCTCTGCAGAAGTGCACAGAGAGTCAAATAGGAGTAGAAAAGAACTAATGTGTAAACCAGGAAAGAGTTAGTGATAATGAAAAAGAGAGGGACAAACATAGAGATGATACTGAGCAGAACAAAGTTTTTAAAAAAATGTTTATACTGTATTTATCAGTCTGAATTCCTGGTAACAGCCTTGGTGCTAAGGTCCTGTTGTTCTGACCATTCCCACGTGACGTTTTTTTTTTTTTTTTTTTTTTTTTTTGGGGCCCTTTCTAGCTGGCTAACTCTTATTTTGTTGGCTTTGTCTCTTAAACTGACAACATAGTTTGCTGTTATAATTTCTGCTCTCATCAAATACAAGGAAATTAATTTGAAGATTTGGTTTTAGTATTAATTAGCTCACGGTTTCTGTGAAAAAGATATGAAATGTACGGATACTGTGGTGTCAAACAGTTCGTTATCCACAGTATTTCTGTGTGCTATTGTGCAAGAGCATGCTCTCATGCTACACCAAGTTCTTCTTCGGTTTATTTTACAGAAACACTTCCTGCTGCTGGCTAAAACATGAACATTCTCATATAAATCAGCAACCGAACACTTGTTGCATTCGACATGCTCAAAACATTGCAAAATGGTTAAAGCTACTATAATCACTATCTTTACAATAACAATGGTTCATACACATACTTGTATGTGAAAGGGGTTGCTATAGCCACAAATCCACACAGAGTTATCATCGCTCTCTGAAGATTCCCTCAACTCGACAGAGGATTCTAACATCCTTCAGCTTGTTGGTTTGGTCTTCTCACCCCTGCTCTGATTTACTCCCACTGCTCTCATCCACACTGTAAATGCATGTTAACAAAGAAAAAAGGTCTAAAAACAGCAGACGGACAAAGACTGGTGAACACGGTGGAGCAGTAGCAGCTAACGAGGCAAATACTTCCCTCGGGAGTGGGTAGAGACCAAAACAGAGCTAAAAGAGATCAGACCACCAGAAGCACAACTCCAAAGGAATACTAATCTTGCTCCATATCTGGTTGAAGTGTAAATAGGCAACTGTTTCCTAACCACATCTTTATAAGCTGACAATATGTCAGTGTTTTATTTATAGCTTCTTTCTGCTGCCCTCAAGTGCCGTAGCCATACCATGGAGTAGCCAGCTTTCAAAGTGTAGCATTAAATACATGTTTAATGGTACAAAATGTGCATTTATGGCTGCTTGGAACATTTAACAAAGATATGACATCTGATGCAAATTGCCTCACACTACTGAACAATTGCAAGTTTTCCTAAACTTGGTATATATTATGTGCATTCACTGAAAAACAATCAGAGAGAGACAGAACAAAGCAAATTAGATATTTCTCCTTACTACACTACTCATCTACTGAGAAATTACTGACAACTAACCATCTACACACTGACAGAGAACTGACAAAGATCCCAGTTAATCAAACTCGAGAGTGCAGCGGTATGAAGCCAATGGGCAAGAGGCGGGGTCCACCCTGGACAGGTCACCAGTCTATAACAAGGCTGCCAATATTCATTTAAAAAACAATATTTCATTGCAAAACCATTGCATTGGTTTGGTCCAAATGGGGACAAATAAGAAAAGTTTGATGCAGTCTCTCCTGCTTCTTTCCTTCTGTGCTACTACTCCACTTCCTCTCTGTAAGTAGAGATAAGATCATTAGCTAAATGCCTAAAATATAAATGTGCACAGATTCCCTACAGTGCTATATTAGAGAATGTGTGTCAGACTGAAGGAGAAGCCTTGTTGGGTGTTAAATGTTTCTGACAGTGACTGACAAATTCTGTGCCTCTTTCTCAACTGTGTTTGTTCTTACAAATGACCCAAGTGACACAAAAACTGGTTTTTCTGCTTAAGTCACAAGCAAAACAGTCTATAGTCGGTATGTTGGGAGTTATTGACTTAATGCACCTCAGAAGGTCACATTGTGTTTACTTTTGTCACATTACTGTGCAGAAATGAGCATAAAAAGCACCTTCATATAACATAGGAAATTGTGTTAACTGCAACATGAACCTCTTCACCTTGACGTGTCCAAATGCATTAAAGAACAGCGTTGTTCATCTACACTATGAACCCCCAAGCCTTTCTGTAACCGGCTCCAGTGTGTCACTTTAAAGGATGCTGAATGATATGTCAGTGGAGCCCTTTTCCTCTGAGAGGCTGCTGATAATGACAGTGAGTGTGGTGACAGGGGTTAAGTATTTGAATTTGTCAATAGCTAAATTGCTGGGATGTAATGGTAAAGGCTTTCAGAGCCAAAGGAGGCCAGACTGCAGTGTTTTCGTGTTAAACTGCCCACTGTGGAGTATAGATTAGTCAATACACACAGTGTGTTGGACTTTAGTGCTCCAGTGGGGTATTTACCCACTGCAGAGACACTGACCGGTTCACACATTTGGACTTTGACTTCATCCTGTCTGTTATTAATGTTTTAGTTTTGGTTGACCTATATTTTCCACTGCTGTTGGTATTTTGTCAGAGGAAGCAGCACCCTTCCCACTGCACATGCTAAATGTGGGTATTACAGACTCCGGTGCTGCAAATGGATGCTGAGACTATTTACTATCAGTACACTCTACTAGCTCTGCTAACTGTGTGTGGCTGCATGTGTTGCGTACACACAGATGTCCAGGTATACACAACAATGCACACACAAACAAGATGGAAATAGTCTGACTGCATTAGGGGTGGAAAGGTACGCATATTCATACAGAATGCTTTGCCTCTCTGCTTCCTGTTCAGTCTAGAAACTGCCCTGACAAAAAGAAACAAGTGGAGCTTCTGTGTAGCTGTGTGGTGACATAATGTTCCTGAGATTTTAGAGGCTTGATTCCCACTGAGCTTAGAAATGTCATGGTGGTGGAAGGTGTCCCAGATAAAAATATCCAACATATGATAGTATGTTCTACACAACAATCCACAGGTCAAATGTCTCTTTTGAAAAAATAAAAAAGAAGCAGTCACTTGACAGCGTAATTCTTCTAAATCCACTCATGAAACTTTTAGCATGTGTTCTCATATAATAATACAAGTTGCTTCATCCACCAACACTTTGTCTCAGGCTTATAGTTGTTACTTTGTCATCATCTGAAGTACATTATGACCTTTATGCTATGATATATGCATGTCCAAGTACACACTCAACAAACTGTATTTTTACATGTGAATCCTCAAGATCTTTTCAGCAACCTTGAAATACTGTTGGAAAACAGAAACATCAAATCTATATTTCTCCTGGATCTTAACTGAGAGTAAACAGTGTCTTCTTGATCACCTTTGTTGAACCTGTTGAATGAAGGAAACATGACTTACTGTTTCAAATACCAATCAATATTTATGTTTCCACAAATATTTCAAGTTAGACAGTTTGTCTGGATGCTTTCAATGCCTCACAAAATTAACAGAAATCATGGCTTAAAAGCTATATTATTTATAATTAATTATGATCACAGCCTCTCTCAGTCTCTCATTAGCTATTAATGGTAATTAATTCTTTCTCTCTTTGTTTTTTTTTATCTGTGTATTATTCTTGAGTTTTGCTAGACAGTGTTTGTATCTTAACAAAAATTGTCCTTAGTTGACAAATGAATTATGAAAAACAGAAAATGGCTGCCAAAGAGGGTTTAAAGATAGTGTTTAATCCCACTGACCTCAAATGCACCAACAGATGAGCTCAGTCTCTAAGTTGACCTGCTTCATATTAAAGTGTTTTGCACTCAACCTAACCAGCGCTGAAAACAGTTTATATCAACAGATGATGCGTTTTAAAACCATTTTCTACATCTATTCCATTTGGAGATAAATTACTCTCCTTCCAGCTGATCTGTTTTTCAACCAGCCAACATTATCTGGGTTCATTTCAAAGTGCCACTCTTTCAGTTTTGGATTTGGCTGAAATTGAATAGAAAGAACCCGTTTATACCAAATGAAAAGAGTATTTACTTATTTTTAGAAAAAAAATAGATATCTGTTGAGTTGTGAAGATAAATATTTTTCGCAGTGTAGACTAGTCAGTATTAATCTATAACGTTACCTCAAATAGCTAATTCCTTTCAGGTGCATGTCCTAAAAAAGACCGAAAGGTTGCACTGCAAAAATGACACTTTAACCATGTTGGACTATTATAAAACTGACTGCTATTTAACTTTACCCCCTAAAAAAATATAGATATACCAGTAAAGGTATAGGCCTAAAGTAAGGCATTTATTTTGATTGCAATTTCATTTTCAGATATTTCAACTGGATGTTAATTTATCTTCAAATAAGACAGATGAGATGAGTCGATGAGGAAAACTAAAGTTAGAAAGTATCTCTTTTTCACTTCCACATCTTTTCACTTCCTTGAACTTTTTACAGACTGGATCTTTTTGCTGTAAACAAGCTGCGGCGCGTCAGGCGATTTCCTCTGGTTCGTTGAGTCGGAGGACTGAAAGGAGCATGACCCAGTCGGAGTGGCTTGCGGGTATTTTACATGAAGAAAGGCTGTGTGTACAGTGCACACACACATGCTCACACACCGCCAGAGAGGCATAGCGGTGCGCAATAGCGGGAACCCTGGGGGGGATCAACTCATCTCAGGCTCTAAAGAAGACGGGTATTTCCACCCATCTCCGTATTTACAGTTTGGCTCAGGCAGAGAACAAAGGACGGCAGGGTCGTTGTGGAAACACTGTCTGTCCTTCAACATCTCCTGCCAAAGTGTCCTTGAGCAAGGCTGCTCACTGATGCCTGCCCTGTTCTGTCCTTTAAGAAGGAAACGAACAGGGCATCTTCATTAAAGACTCACTCTTAAGGATAACTGAGGTAGCCAAAGACTTTTTTTTTGCCCTTGACTCACTTGTTTTCATAGACGTGTGCAATTTACGTAGCCTACTGGCATTTTCATTTATTTCTTCACCAGATTAAACAGACATCGACTGCATCTACAGACTTACATTGCCTTTTGGTCTGAATAAACTGTCGCATCTAAATCAGGAGGTTCTCTAAATGATGCCTGGCTGGAGTCCTGTAATTCAGCCCAAAGTGCATAAACAAACACAAACAGGAACCCATCACTAGCGCAGCCAACACCGCAATTTGGCTCCGTTTTGGTTCACATTTTAAAATACGCACCATCGCATCTCTCACGACCATGGTGTCGCTGCTGAATGATGATTAATAAGGGGGGGGGGCGCTGTACTGCTCCTCTTTGGCACTAACTGACCCGTTGTTAATCCAACACAATACAACCAATGTAGCGGCATCCTCTTATGGCGGCTCTGGGTGTTGGTGAGCAAACAGCATAATTAAAACTGGGGGACAAAAGAGGGATTTGACAAAAGAGCGGGGTGAATAGTTTAGGTTTGTTAGATAAATGTCACATAAGCAGGTGGTGACTGATTATATACCTAAAATAAAATGAAATGTCGAGGCACATAGCCTACCCGATCAACAGACAACATGACGCACACACACGCACAGATCTCTAAATGACTCTTTTAACCTGACATGCGAAAAAATACTAGATGGTCACGTTTAGTCCTGAAATGTGTTTTCTCACAGCAAGAACAAGAATCTGTCACCGTGGTGAAGTAACTCTCTCCAGTACAAATAACTTCCTTATTTCATGTTTTATTAACACAAGAGATAAAAACGTCCCTAGTCTGTACTTTGGTACAAAGTTTTATTGTTTGTTTTTGTTTTGTTTTGTTTTGTTTTTTTTAAGGAAAGTAATTAAAGAAGTGAGGCTGCATTGGAAACAGGAGCCAGCTTTAAAACAATCTTTCACGGCTGTCTTTCAGATGTAGTGACCTGTTAAGATTGGTATTTAGCAGTGAACAACATTACGCACACAAAATGTTTTGTAAACAAATGTGTCCAGTGCCACATGTTCACAATGACATTCACTCACACCCACGGAGGAGACCTCCGGCGTTACCTTCTCGCCTCATGCCGACTTTGAGGCACTTCTTAAGCCGGCAGTACTGACACTGATTCCGGTGGTGCTGGTCGATGGGGCAGTCTCGGTTCCCCCGGCAGGTGTACGTGAGGTTTCGCCTCACGGAGCGCTTAAAGAAGCTTTTGCATCCCTCGCAGGTGAACTGGCCATAATGCTTCCCACTGGATTTGTCCGAACACACCATGCAGTCCACATTAGGAATCTTGTCCCCGGAAAGCGCGTCGTTCCCCGGGGTGGAACCGTTGGGTGTCCCCGGTGCCCCGCCGGGCTCCTGGCCACAAATCTGGAGCTGAGACCCCGGATCTGCAGAAATGTTCTCTGGCCATTGGTTTACTACCATTGCCATGCTATCCCTAAACACTTTGGTCTTTGTATAAATCACAGAAGGAGAGTCCGACGGAGTGATAAAGATCCGTCCTGACGTATTGGGAGAAAAAACGAGGAAAGCCAAAAAGACGCTTCCCACTTCCTCCAGAGATTTATCTGCGCTTATGTACGTTGTTCTATGGTACTGAATTCTTTTTATAAATGTCTATCAAAGTTTACAGCAGCAACGAGGGATCAACATGTTCGATGCATGTGAGCAGAGCCTACAACTCCCGGTGTTCCTCGCTGCGCAGAAATCCATAAACACGCTGTTCTTCAGAGTAGAACCTCTTGGAAAAGTCAGTCCAATACGTCAGTGTGTCAGCTGTAAAAAAATAAAAAATAAAAATCAAAGGTTATCTGTCTTTCCCCCTGTCTCTAGAACTGGAAATAGAGAAAATAACTGTGATATAACAGACAATATTTCGTACTATCTCAGTTGGTCGCTCCAAAATAACCCACGCTCTGCTGCATTTGGATTCACTCTGGATAAACTCTGTCTCTTGGGTGTCAAGCTTGATTTTATACTGACTACATCTCACGTAGGTGGGGGACTTATTTAGTCCCAGCAAGCTCTTGCAAGCGGTATAACGCGCAAGTCCCGAGGAGCAGTAGACAATCCTGGTTGGTGTTGTTCCTACACGCCGCGATGAGGTTTTGGATAGCGACGTCCGTGTTCGCTCTGATATTTCTTTGCCCAAAAACAACGCCTGGAAATCCCCACTGATGTTCTGGGTGATCTTCCGTAAAGGGAAACAGACACAGAGACGGTTTAAGTAGAACAATCTCTGCTGCTGTAGTGTATTACTTCACCCTTCGTCTGCCCGTCTCTGCGACTCAAAGCTTCAGTTTGGGGAAAGTGTCACTGGAAGGCTGTCTCATACGGCTGCGCCTATGGCGGCACTCCATATAAGGTCATAACAGCCAAATAAGGCCATAAGCCCTCCCAACAGCGGGAGAGGCGAGGGATGAAGAGTCGGGCTTCATTGGTCCGAAAAGTCTAATAGAAAAAGTAAGGAGCTTTCTGATTGGTTGGTGGTTGGTGAGGATGGATTTGACTGACAGGAGCGCTTGTTGTGATGCAAGTGGCTAAAAGTGGGTTACATTAGTTTCTCACTGAAAATAAAAGATTTGCATTTGTGCGTGGATAACCTTGTGGGTAACTACAGTTCACAGCTCTGAAAATTAGCTACGTTGAATCTTCATCTACAGTGTTTAGAGAAATATAAATGCAGCTGCACGCAGTTTGATCTTTTAGTCGATTTTAAAGGCTAATGCAAATCTTTATGAGGAGGAGGGACGCGTTAAAGGCAAGACCACAAAAATAGGCTATATATTTTCTCTTCTTTGTGCAGAATGGTTTATGTGAAGGGTTTGACAGTAGAAGGCTGTTTTCACATTTATTTTCTGAAGGACAAATCTTAAATTTGAGCATTTTTACGAGCAAAACAACTTGACAACTAGTTTGAAAGCCAGTCGTGCTCCAATAACCCTGTGCATGGCAGAAACTAAAATCTCAAGTGCACTCAGAGAACAAACTAGAGGGTCGTGCAGATTTGTAAATGCAGTGATGGAGAAGGAATAGCTAGACGTTATTATTATTTTAATTTTAATAAGACCACAGATTTTTCTTTTTTTCTGAGAAAAAACATCGGAGACAATTTCATATTCAAAGCAGAGTATTTCCATTTGTTATAAACATGTTAAGAGGGAGTTAAGATAAAAGACGTGTGTTTGCCTAAACGATGTGATTGTGGTTGATGTTTAAGGGTAATTTGATGACTTTTTTTGTCTTATTGTTTCGCCATATTAACAACGACTAAAGTTCATATCTTCCAATTCGATTACACCACCGCCTTGTCATCAGTCTTGGGGTCAGCATGAAGCCGGACTGAACAGATAGGGTTGTCTCTTTAAAGGCTTTATTTTATCCTATCACGTAGCTTAAAAATAATAGAGCCAAACAGACACAAACATTGTGAATATTTCAATAAATGTCGCACATTATGCTGTGAAACAGCTCCTTTCAGTTACACAAAGTCAACAATAACAAAAGGTGCCAAAAAAAACTTGTCAGGGTCTAAATCGTTTACCCGTCGAGAAAAGCTGTCGTTTTGTTGTTGTTATACAGGCTCTGCCAGTGCACAAATGGCCAGTGACAGTGTTGTTCTCTAATGAGGGCCTTTCACGCCGAGAGTAGCGGGGACCTGATTATTTTCCCAGATAGGGTCTTGATTTGGCATGTGGAGGTAATTCCACCAGCACCGCTGCCAGGCTCGAGTGTCCCCCCGCGCGGTGCTGCATGGGCCCGACGTGAGGGATGATGGGATGTTTAGACACGCTGTCACACGTCTGCTCTCACGGGCAACGTGTGAAAATATAGAAAAAGATCTTTTCAGGGTTTCAAATCTATCTATCTAATATAATTTGGACAATTAGGTGTTTATAAGCCTAACTGATAAATAGATTTACTAAACCTTCCTTATCCAGTTCCAGGGTCTATAAGGACAGACGGTGTCCTACTGTGCAGACTGTAAAGCCCCTGGAGTCAAATTTGTGATTTGTGATACTGGGCTCTAGCCTACAAATAAATGAAAAGTGGCTTGACTTGACGCTGCAGTATTTTACTTCCTCTTGCTGTTCTTTGCAAATTAAAGCAAAGGGGCGACAAAGAAAAAGAAAAGTCAATAGATGAACAATAAATCATATTTCGTCAGTATTTATAGCCTATAACCTGCAGCTAAACAAAACATAACTCACAGAGTACTTACATAATCCCAGCAGTCTATAGACGAAACGTGAACTGCAATTCCCAAAATTCCCAATTGCTTCTCCCAAAAGGAAAAGAAGGCGCTATAAGACTCAGGGCTCCTGAGCGCAGCGCCTGGCTCGCCAGAGGCCATAAAACCGGCCCTGTGCTGGGTTTAATTGCTGTCACATGTAACCTTACCTGTCTCCCAATTAGCCCTGTGACTTGCTATTAGGAGATTCCATGAGCTGTAGGCCAGTGACCAAGGGGGCCTCAGGGTTTGGGGCCTAATAATTAGAGTGTAATTCTATACAGCTGGGGCTTATGATGAATTTGACCAAGATTTCAACGAAAATGGGGTTAATTAAATGAGGATCAACCTGAGGTTGAGTCATGTATGTGATATTCACCCATGAATCCCTCAGAATGACAATACCAACGCTGACATGTATGTGGTGTGGTCACTCTTTTTTTTCTTCTAAGGTTGTAACATATATATGAAATCCTACCCAGAAAGTGAAGCAAAATTCTAATGACATGTTTAAGTATTGTAGCACACCTGCCCAGAGTAGCATTCAGTGACAGTCTACAGGAGAGATCGGAGATATGCTAAATACATATACAATAGGTTATGGTTGATTAAATTCAACATGGTCAGTCTCTTATAATTTAGGCATCCTTGAATAAATCTCACATTTTATCCTCAAAGTTATGTTCAGACATATCAGCTGACCTGAGACACCAGACAAAATGTTTTCCTATAGACCTGTATAATGAAATATTACTGAATAAAGAAAAAAGTATTGTTATAGAAGGCATGGCTTCTGCTAAAATTCAAGAACATTCCTGGGCTATTTCTGAACATAAAGTGATTTTTATTCCTTTTTGTTCTAAACTGTATAAAGATAACACCTGCTCATACTACCTGATGGCTTCAACAAAGGCATTTCATATTTAGGATTGTACCTCTTTAAAGGGTAAGTTCACACTTTTTAATGTCTGTCTTACATTCACATGTCCATTTATACACTGAAACTGGTTTTGGTCACTGGAGTAGTTCCTCCTGTTCACACTGACTGAGAACAAATCTCTTCCTAATGTGAATCCAGTATAAGACATGAGGAACAAAATCCACCGTCCTTGCTTGGTCCAGCTAAACCGAATATGAGGCTTCAGCTGTCTGAATTAAACAAATCAAGTAAAAAGGTATTTAAAATGTATTTTTAAAAGGTACCTCCTTCTTTGAAAGAACATTTCCTGTTGCTATCACTTCACCACATCAACAAGGAAACACTGTTTTAGGGAATTCTACATTATGAAGACTGCAACTTTGAAAATTCCTTTGAATAACTCAGGCTGCTGACGCTTCACAGTTTCAGCTATGTGTCTTTGTTTAGGTTTTGTTTTTATCTTAGGTTTGTTATAAAATATGTTCCATTTGTTCAAATGCAGCCTGTGCATGTAAAGCCAACCTGGATCAGACACCACTTGCAAGGTTTGTTTCATCCGACAGGTCTATGTGAGCATGGTCAGAGGTCATGTAGCACTGTAAAAAGTAAAGTGCTGGACAGTGGAGTTAACATCTTTTCTGTGTCTGCTTTAACGTGCATAACTTGAATTGTCTAATCATGGTACACTTTGCCCTGTCATATCAAAATGTATCTTAAAACAAATGCACAGAATAGTTTGCCATTTCTGTTTGATGCTCAGTGACGGATGACTGGACCAACTGGTGCGGGAGGCTCTGACACATGAGGGTGTCAGGGTGGGGGCAAGGGGTGGTAAACATGTCCGCACCAGATGGCCTAGGAAATGCAGAGGCCACCAGTTTACTTGTTAATTTATTGATGGCCTGACAACACCGTTACCCACAAAGCAATGCTCCACTTTAGCTGGTGCTAAATATGATCCCACTGAGGAAAGGCGCCATCAAATGACCAGGTATGTAACCTGAGCACGCTACCAAAATAGAAATTCTAAGCTACAAATGACATGTTTGCCAGGAGGTCTTTGGTCTGCAGCCCGTGTCTTACATGACCCGTGAACAGGTACCATCAGGATGCTTTTGTGCTCACAGGAGGTTAATCGCTGATGCACTGCCTCACAAAGGCCTGGTGATGGACAGAGAAAGAAGAAGTACACTGTATTTTATTGAGAATGTGCACGTGTTCTTGAGTGCATGTACACCAATAACACATTATGAAAAAGTGAATGGTGTGTAAACTGAATTTCTGGATGACAAAAAGCCATTTTACCCACTGAGTTTATAGAAACACTTCCACTTTTGTAATTAAATTCTTATCAAGCATGAGTGAATAGACATACACAGCCCTGGTTTACACTGTGCAAATGGGCAAGGGTGTTTACTCACTGCTGAAACAGAGCTGATAGTTTTTGAAAGTCAGCACAGTTTCCTTTGGCCGATTGAGGTTGATTAAGAGGTTAACTGTGGAGAGGCATGGCGTCTTTAACGGAGATTTATCTGTTCCTGCTCTGACCTCTCGGGGGTAGCTACCCTCACCCCCAGTGTGTCCAGGATTTATTTAGTTATTTGTTTATCTGTTGGAAGAGGTCACCCTTTTTTCTGCACTACATCTCTGCCCTGTTTGTGCATCTCAAACCCATTTCTCATCTTGTTTCTTGTGAGATTGTGGCACTGGTTCCATTTGCTGACTAAGTGAAGAGGACACAAGTGAAGGCCCCACTGAGTCTCGTGACCTTTAACATTTGGCAGCGATGCATCCCAAAATTGGTTATTTTCATTTAACACGTATTTTGCTGTCTGTTCAACTTTGGCCCCCATTTGGAGGAATTATGGTGTTTTCCTAATTGCTTCCTGACAGTTTTAATTCAGCTCCATTTTAATTTATGGTCTTTTATTTCCTATTTTTGCATGATTTCATTGAAGTGCTTGTGTATGTTTCACAAAAACAGTAAAAGATAGCTTTTAATCCTGACAGATGAAACCTCAGTTTATCATTTCACACAGGAAAATGTATAACCTTTCTATATTTTTTTAAAAACATCATCTATACACATCACCAATTTATTACGCAGGTCAGCATCTTATGTTTATTTGCTTTTGCATGCAGATTGTGTGTGTGAGAACACTGAAAAGAGAAATGTGTTTAT